ATACACACGGACACTCGTAACCTCATACGTGTGTAGCTCCCATAACACGTAGCACATAACAAATACGACACCTACAGGGTAAATTTCCTCTTACAAGGTTAGACAAGAGACTTACCTTGCTCCAAGATCCGATAACCGGCTCCAACGCCTCTCTAACACCTCGAACCCATACCAAACGATCCGAAACTAGTCACAAAAAGTGCAAACCAATCAAAATATATTCAAAGACTCGTAATTTAACAATTAGAAACCATCCCCAACTCCACACGAAAATTCAACAAAGTCAACCCCCGGGCCCACACGCCCAGATTTCAAAAATCTTCGAAGATAAATATTACCAATAGCACCATGAACTCCAATATATGATTTGTTCTTAATTTCACGGTCAAAACTCAAAAATACCATTTTTAGGTTTCCTTCAAAAATCTCAAAATTTTTACTAATTTCCATATCTAAATTCATACATAATCCATGTATTTACCTCACAACAAGTGGGAATCACTTAACTTATGATAGATGATAAAAATGACTCCTCCAAATCGCCCAAAATTGCCTTCGAAAGAGACAAATGAGCAAATTCTTGATTTATTAACTTATATTATGTCCAAGTCCTTCCTCTTAGCGATCACAGAAATACAATCGCGATTGCGAAGGCCAACACTGCCACCGCTGGAATCTCCTTTTATGGGATCATGAGGGATCTCACGCGATCACGAACAATAGCAACCCAGACCTACGCGAACAGAGATGAGTCCCACGAATGCAAGCTGAGTCCCATGAATGCAAAGGCCGAAATCCAGCCCCTAGAACTCAAAGGTACGCAATTGCGAATGCTCACACGCAATCGCGAAGCTCAAGCTTCCACCCCACCCCAACCCCGCTACACAATGCGTTCACGACCCTCACCACGCGAACGCATTCACGACCCTTATTGAAACACACCCGAGGTCCCCTGGACCCCGTCCAATCATACCAACTAGTCCTCATACCTTATCCAAAGGCTCGAAACGCCACGAATAACATCAAAATCACAAATTGGTGATCAAAATCCTCCTTTTAACTTTCAAACCTTCGAACTTCGCCGAACGCGTCCGAATCACACTTAGACATTCCGGATCATGACCAAAATTTACATACAAGTTTCAATAAACAAAAATGAACCTACCCAAGGTTCCGGAACACCACCCGGAATCCGATAACACTAAAGGCCACTCCAAGTCAAACATAGTAAATTCAAAAACCTTCAAAATGCTGGCTTTCGATAATAAGCGCTGAATTACTCCCCTACCATCCGATACTCAACCCCAGACATACGCCCAAGTTCGAAATCACCTTATGAATCTATATGAACCTTCAGACTCCGATTCCGAGGTCTTTACACAGAAGTCAAACCTTGGTCAATTCTTCCAACTTAAAGCTTCTGAATTGAGAATTATTTATCCAAATCAACTCCGAACTTCTCGAAAATCAACACCAACTACACGTGCAAGTCATAATACATAAAGTGAAGCTACTCCAGGTCCCAAACTGCCGAACAACATGCTAGAGCTCAAAGTGATCGGCCGAATCATTACATTCTCTCCACTTAAACACACGTTCGTCCTCGAACGTGCCAAGAACCATTCTAAAGTTGCCAAAATCACTATATAACTCCTCATGCACCTACCCGTGACACCACAATCCATATGAGCACATTAGGTCAACCCAAGCTGAAGATCATTCCTGCTACCTTAGTCTACGAGCCTTTGAACCAAACTCCAACATCCGGAATTTCCTATAAGGTCCGATTCCAGCGTACATACACTGTATCAATCTCTGCAAGTTGTACCAAAACATACATATACACACAAGTCACAATCAGACCATGTACCGCATTGCTCATATGCCCATAGTAATATCTTCCAACCACAATAGCTGCAAATTTCTGAACCCGACACCAATAATATACCTCATGACACATAAAATCATGTTCAAACCTCGCAATACTGCAATGATGAAAGAGATGTGTAGAAACTCATAACCATCTATTAAACTAACAAATCATGGAGCTCTTCCGCTCGAGACAAGCTGATTCCAAATCCAATAACCTTGTCTCACCCAGTACAAGCTGCTCGGTCGACAAGCCATATAAATACCATCTAAAATCTCATACGACGACATCTATGAGCCTATGAGCCATAACTCGAATATGACCAATAAGGAAAAGAAGCCCAAGCAAAGAACTATCTAGCCCGTATAACGAATAAAAAACCCAGACAAATGCTATGAACTTGTCCCACAAAGGAGCAACACACATAAGCTTAAAGAATCGTACCCAACATCTCACTGTCGCGGCGTGCAACTCAATCCACACATAATAACTTGCATGAGAATACCCATTAATCCAAAAATGCTCACACTCACTAGGCACACATACATCAACAGCAAGTACGCCAAGTGCGTAAACATAACTCTGGGGACACAAATAGCATATTGCGCTACAAAAGAGGTGAAACACAACTAAGGTGCAATAAACACCGAGCATCCCGAGAGGCATCTCGCTCATATGACACCACAATTTTACATAGGACCACAATACGCATATGAATAATCAAGTTGCCTCACAACCCACATAGCATAAAAGTAACACAGTAACAGATGATGACATGAATAACATCCACCATGCCCGAAGACTTATCCATAGACAAATGTTGTGCTGAATAAGCATATCCGATCTGGTATAGAATATACATTCACATTAGACCTACCAATGGACCTCTAAACCGATTCTAAGCATCCCAAAATAGGTAATTATTCTTCCATAGATCCACAATGACCCTAACCATGACACATATAATCAAGTGACAGGTCCTGAGCTCACACAGTTCGCAACTAGAGGAATAGTCTGCCTGTGAGAAATAAACTCTTCAATCTGCGATAGTACCTGAATCTCCATATCTCATCTCAATCTCTCCCACTTAAATGACTGACATATATCACCTACACAATCATCATAAAAGAGGTACTCCTACAACTTCTGCACCAAGTAACAAAAACTTGTATATCCATGGCTACCAACCATGCTATTTTTGTAGTGCTAATCAAGAATCCGCATTCAATACACAATGCCCGGGCTAATAATTACGATGCCATAATGTTTGGTACCGAGTGTTCTTTAAATTCCGTCCACGTCATTCTTCACTTACTTGACATGTGTTAAGTTTTATCCACATGATAATTCTATTTTTTACCTATACAAAATCGAGGGGCATGTTGACGTAAAAAAGGTTGACTGTATCTGAAAAGGGCCTAAAATACCCATTTACTATATGAAATAGGACAGGCTAGCCCTCCGTTAAAAGTTGGTCTCTATTCTGCCATTGCCGTCAACAAATGGGCTCGTATATGCCCTCCATCACTAACGAGAGACTCATAAAGCCACGTGGAATATATGTGAGGGCAAGTTAGACCTAGTTCGAATTGTACAGGGGCATATATGAGTCAATTATAATAGTCATTTCTCAAATACTTCATAACTCCATATCAGTTTACTTAGACACCTATTTGACAACACTCAACTAATTATCACAGCAAATAAACTAAGTCATAGACACAAACATTCAAATGAACGACAATGACTTCATTAAATCTTAGTAGCTCAAAGGGGGTCGAATCATAACAAAAGACAACAAAAAACAATGTCGGAATGTTCTAGTAGTTCAAAGGGGTCGAATAAGAGATGTCATTGCGGACTTACTCCTAATTATTTCATGGCATGGACACCTTTAAATGCTGGGAGAAGGTTTTTCAAGTGCCTGAAGCATGATGTAAGTAAATTTTTTGTTGGGTTCTTTTAATTATTCCGATTTGCTTGTTAATTTGTTTTATTTATTTTTGGTTTTTATGATGAAAAATATTCCTATTGGCAATCCCAAGATGAAGAGCTTCCTCCTAGCGTTTCAAAATCTCATATGCAGTTTAAAGAAGGAAAATGAAGCTCAAATCCGTGAAAGAAATGCTCTCCAAAGGAAAATTTGATCTTGAGAATGTTATGATGCTCGTTGATCATGAAGGAATAGAAGTCTTGGAATTGGAAAGAAATGTTCTAATGAAGAAATTGACCGATTTAGAGTACTCAGTTGTGCTTGATGCTAAATTTCGGAAGAAGATGTGGATTTTCATGTGTGTGATATTGGGATGTTTTGTTATGTTCTTTGGATTAGTGGGAAATGATATGTAATGTTAGTGTTATTGTGGCTTAATTGTTGTCTTTTACTATGTAATGAAGCTTTATATTTTTGTACAAGGATTTAATAAAGTCATTGCCGTTCATTTATTGTATCTATGACTGAGTGTATGTGCTATGATAATTAGTTTGGTGTTGCCAAATAAGTGTCTAAGTAAACTGATATGGAGTTGTGAAGTGTTTGAGAAATGACTATTATAACTGACTCATATATGCCCTTGTACAATTCGAACTAGGTCTAACTTGCCCTTACATATATTCCACGTGGCTTTATAAGTCTCCCGTTAGTGATGTAGGGCATATACGAGCCCATTTGTTGACGGCAAGGGCAGAATAGAGACCAGTTTTTAACAGAGGGCTAGCATATCCTGTCCTATTTCGTATAGTAAAAGGTTCGTTTGATTTTCTTACATTTTGCCCATGAACTTCCTCTTTGTTATCACACGTGTATTCAAGATTGCTCATTTCTTTTAAATTACATTCAAAGGTTTTTATTTTGGAGTACTTGACTTAAAATTGGGAAATTTACCCGTTTGGTCCTAAGAATTAAGAAATTTTTCACTTATTTATAAAAAATTTAAATTTCCCTTGAAGTTAAATTTTAAATTAATAAAAATTTAAAAAAACTTCAAAAAATTATATTTTAAAATTTCCACTTTAAATCACTCGCAAAAATAACTTTAAGTTATATTAAAAAAAAAAAAATTCGCCGTTTCTCCGAAATTTTACTGCAATTCTTGTGTCCAAATGTCCACTTAGATTTTTCAAGATTTTAATCTTTTTTGCTTCTTCGAACTTCTTCTCTTTCACACAAAACCCCAACCAAAAATCAAATCTTTCTAAAAACCCAACTCCTCCACCTTAAAGGGGTTTTCAAGAACCTGAAAAATCTGGTAGGAAAAATGGCAACCTTTTTCACTTCCCTCGGACCCAATTCTCTATTGTCTCCATTTACAGAACGGACAAGAACACTAAACCCAGTTTTTCACCGAACCCACTTTGGAAATCTTCCAACTTACAAACCCTTTTCACGGGGCGTGCTCGGAGTAGCTCGATTCGGGTTGGGTCAGGATCCGTTTCCTGACCCGGAGACTGCAGAGGTGCTTTTCAAGGACCTGTTTGCTCGGGCTGAAGGGCTTTTGTATACAGTTGCTGATGCTGCTGTTTCTGGTTCTGCTGATACGGTTGTTAACACTGTTGAAAGTAGTAAACAGAATAGTGATTGGCTTTCTGGTATTACCAATGGAATGGAGTCTGTTCTGAAGGTTCGTTGAATGTTAAAACTTCGTTTTTACTATGTTATGATGCTCCTCTTGTTGTTCTGAAGATTTGTTAATGTTAAAGTTTCGTTTTTTACAATGTTATGATGCTCCTTTCGTTGTTCAATTCTTTTTGCTTTGTTTTGTGTTCTAATTTTATAGGTTTTAGAAATTTCAATTGGCTAATTGATTCTTAGAATTGTACTTTTTCAAGGATGAATGGAGACAAAGTTGCTATAGTTGGAAGTTGAATTATGGGGTTCTTTGATTAGCCGTTATGGTGAAACTAGTATATAGAATATACTAAACAGTTGGAATTAAGGCTTAGCCGTTGTTTCCACACTTGCACTGTTTTTTGTAGGAGACCTCATAGGCATAAATGTAAGGTTTTGAGAAACTCTAATAGTATTGGAATGAAGCGGACTCAAGTAGAGCTCAACAAATACAAAAGATTCATATATCCTACTCCAACTATATTGGGATTGATGTGTTATTGGTTGATTGATTGAGAATTTTGTATTGCTAGTTGGGTATTTGGTTGCAAATTTTACGGAAGAATGTAATCGTTATTCAAAACATAATTTTGAGCAGTTAAGAATTGTATATATGGCTATGTTGCTATTCATCATTAAAGAGTAAGATTGTTAAAGTTGGTTCCTTTATTTGGTATCTGGAACTTGTCTGGTCTATTAGTTGCTTCATTTGGTGGTATCATTGGAATGAGAGGATAATGTAAGCAAGATTGTTTCATGCCTCTATCAAATGGAAAGAGAAATATTTTGCAGACTAAATGTCACATTCTTCTGCTTAGTGGTCGAAAGATAGCATATTTATATCCAACTGTAATGTATGGGTTGATTCAAAGCTTAATTCTATCTCCTGCTTCTATCTCTCACTCATATGTTAAGACACGCCAAAGAAAAAGAAAAGAGAGAAAACAATTAAGAAAGTGGTTGTGATATGTCCAGGTTTTGAAGGATGGACTCTCAACTTTACATGTGCCGTATTCTTATGGTTTTGCAATCATTCTACTAACAATACTAGTAAAAGCTGCAACTTTTCCTCTAACAAAAAAACAGGTCAGTGGTCTACTTTCATGTCTTCTCTTTACAGTATTTCTGTTTTCCATATTTCTGTGTAAAGTATTTATGAAGTAAATAGAGCTGTACAAATTACAAAAACACATTCTTGCTTATGAAGGCTTAGATGGTTTACTATCTTTAAGAATCAATTTTAGGTAGAATCAGCAATGGCAATGCGCTCTATGGCACCTCAAATAAAGGCTATTCAGGAGCGATATGCTGGAGACCAGGTTAATTTATACCCAAGCTTCACATATTTTTCACCTTTAGTCAGTGGAATATTACTGGAGGATGTGCGTGCTTAAGTGAATAGCTGCCCTTCATTTACCCTGTGGCATTTTCTTGCATTTGTCCAATGTAAAAACTTTGCGTCAACTATTTTAACTTCTTATATACATGTTTTCCAGGAGAGGATTCAACTTGAAACTGCTCGTCTTTATAAATTAGCTGGCATAAATCCACTGGCAGGTCTCACTTTCTTTTTCAATCCCAAATCTTCTTATGGTTGACAATTTTGGTTGTACATCCTTACACACCATACATGTGGGATGTGGCAATATTTATTTTTGGTATGATAATTTAAATATTGTCCGAGTTCAGTAATTGTTGATATTTGTTAATCATTTCTATCATCTATACCCCCAGGATGTCTGCCGACCCTTGCCACTATACCCATATGGATTGGGCTTTACAGAGCCCTCTCTAACGTGGCAAATGAGGTAAAACTGCTATTTTTGTACTTGTTCACCCCTTCTCTGGAGAGGCTTTTTACTTGAATAACGCTTGCTAAAAAGGGAGACAGTTTTGATTCTAATGAGAAAGCAAAAGAAAAACAATTGATAAGTGAAAAGCAAACTACTGCTGCTGGCAATTTCACCCTTTTGTATACTTTAGCAAACACTTTAGGTTTCTATAGTTTCACTCAAGCATCTCTAATACTTTTCTTTTTCTTTTTTTAATTACATTAAGGGGCTTCTGACAGAAGGCTTCTTCTGGATACCCTCACTAGCTGGTCCAACAACAATTGCTGCTCGACAAACTGGAAGTGGCACCTCTTGGCTTTTCCCTTTTGTAGTGAGTCATCTGCTGCTGTCCAGCCTTGCCTCATTTCTCTTTCTTTTTTTTTTTGGTGGG